CTCTTTGTCGATGATAGTGAAGATATCAGAATCACTTCATCGACGACAAACATTTCCTTTGCGGACGGTTGCTCCCCGTAGACCGTTTTGATTCGCTCCAATGTTGGGAATTTCAGAACTTGGTGAATGGTCGAGGGTACTGCTCTCATATTGTGGATCCATAGCCTCTCGAACGGGGGTTATATCTCATATCACCCTCGATCACGTGGAACTTTGATTCTTGGATGGTCCCAGCCACATTTACTGGCAAAATTATCTCGCCCTTAGTAGTTTCACACGCCATATTGAATCCGTTTAGTACCAGGGTTGCAGGCACGACCTGGTCCTGTAGACCGAGTTGCTCTATGACCCTTGATCGAATGATGTTGGTCGAACTACCTGGATCAATTAACATACGCTTAACTTGAGTTTTATTCATAAGTACAGATATTACCAGTGCATCGTTATGGGGTTACATGACTCCTTCCGCGTCTTCGTTACTAAAGGACAAAGTTCCTTTAGGTGTGTAATCCTGAGTCTGAGATCGCTTCTCTCTTACAATTGACATCTTAGTACGTTTAAGCACCGGCCCCTAAGGGACATCTATCCCTCCGATGATCATGTGGATGATGTGTTGTGGCTTTTCTTGTTCGTTTTGTCTATTGAAATCTCTGTTTTTGAAATGGTTTTTGGCCCGGTCACTTAAAATTTCTCGAAGGTGCCCTTCATTGTACCTCCTCTCTCAACTGCCTGCATTCTTCAGTTCTACGGCCATGGGTGCCATGGTACTTTCACATTTGATTGGTATTTCTCTGGGCTAGATCAGACTGCAGAGGTCGATGTTGAAGTTATATTCTTTTATGGGTCCGATAGCCGACACGATGGCGGATGCATCAATGTTGAAGTTATATTCTAATAACCGTGGTGCTTCCTTAGGTCCGGTATGCCTGTCGAACCCATTCTTGTTCATCAGCCCCCGAGACCCTTAGCCTCGATCACTTCTCTTTTCGCCTCGTATGGAGTTGCGTACAGGTTCACTACCCCTGCGATCTCCGTTATACGGCCAATATCGGTCCTTGTTTGACCTTGGTTCTCGGTCGATGTCCCTTTTAATAACGGTCCCAGAACCCAACTGGTCGTCTTCGACTCTAATCTTCAATTGATATCGATTGTGTACATTGGCCCAGGTAACAACCGGGTACTCGATTAAGTTCTGCTTTAACCGTCGTTAAGCCATCGAGCTTCGTTCGTTCAATCCTTGGGTGAAAGCTTGAACGGCCCAATCGTCCGTGACCGGTGGTAGATCTATTCGTTCCATTTGGAAAAGAGATACGAACTCTCTTAGCATCTCGTTATCTTTTTGCCTTACCTTGAAAAGGTCCGACTTCCTAGTTTTGACCTTTATGGCTCCGGCATGTGCTTTTACGAAAGAATCTGCAACCATAGCAAAAGAATCGATAAAGTTAGGCGATAAATTATGATACCATATCATTGCTCCCTTTGACAGGGTTTCACCGAACTTCTTTAATAATACGGATTTGATCTCGTCATCTTCTAGATCGTTCCCTTTAATGGCACATGTGTAAGAGGTGACATGTTCATTGGGGTCGGTCGTCCCATTATATTTAGGAATTTAGGGCATGCGAAACTTCTTGGGGATCATTTTGGGAGCCGCGCTTGGGGGGAAAGGATTTTGTACGAATTTTTTAGAATCCAAGCCCTTCAATATCGGTGGTGCCCCTGAGATCTGATCAACCCTAGAGTTATAAGTTTCTACTTTTTTGTCGTTTACTTCAATCCTCTTTTCTCCTGACTCAATTCGTTTTGTCAGTTCCTCGAGCATCTTAATAATTTCACGATTAGTCCCCAATTCTTGTTTATTTGACCTTACTACAGCTCGCCCCGTTTTGTGGGTGACTTCTTGGGGTGGACCAGGCTCGAGCCTGCTCGGTGCCTAGGTTTGGCTCTGCAACTGAGCTATCGCTACCTATTGAGCTTGCAATATTTTGAAAATCATACGCAGGCTGATCCCGTCTTCTCCAACATTTTGGGTATTTCGAACTGCAGATCGAGTTCCACCATGAATGTTATTTTCGGGGTCGGAACGTTGGTTTGCCTCAATGGCCACATGTGGATTAACGTCAATTGGATCTACGGCCCGAGTTCCAACGGGATCAGTGAGTGGCCTTTCATTCTCGGCCGTCAGGTTGTTGTTTTCATCTTGAAGGCCAGCTTCGTTGTCGATAGGTAGGGCCATTAATTGGGAGTTCGTCGTTTTTAACCTGAAATCAAAGACACTTCCAAGAGTAAGTGTAAAAGGGTGTGTTTTGCAGGGATTCGTACCAAATAACCACTATTATCCTTAGCCCCACGATGGGCGCCAAACTATTTACCCGAAAACAGATAGAGTTGAATTTATATATAGTTCTAAGGATACGCTGTGTAACTTGGTACAAATTGAAAAAATAAGTAGAGATATATCAAATATTGACTGTAAAAAGGAGCGAATACAAATCCAAATTGAGTAGAAAATGATTGATAAGTGAACAAGATGAATTAATATTAAAAGCCCAAAAAAAGATAATATTTCCTAGATGTTATGTAAATCTCAATAAAATCTGAATGTCAGAATGTATGAATGTATATGAGTACCTCTTACAAATGATAACCACTCTTAATATAGTGGGAGAATCCCATTTTGGGTATAATTAAAAATACACAGTGGGGATCCCATTCCGCCGAGATTCTCTCCAAATGCGGATATAACGGCTCTTTTGTCCCTTGGCTCGATCTTGATCTTGGCCGGTCTCTGTATTGGTCGGTCTCTGGGTCTCGAGCTCGATATTGACTCAAGCTTGACATTGATCGGTCTCTGGGTCTCGAGCCCGTTATTGACTCGAGCTCGACATTGATCGGTCTCTAGGTCTCGAACCCGATATTGACTCGAGCTTGGTATTTGATCGGTCTTTGGGTCTCGAGCTCGACCTTTCAACTTTACCTCACAGCTCGATATTATAATGACGAACCTCGGTGCATCATGCTCCAATCTTGATTAGTCGAACGAAAGGCAAACTCGATTTTGACCGTATACAATGTTAAATTTCTCTGTGTTGAAATTGTACTTACATGATCGTTCCACAAAGGAACAAGCGAAGTATAGAAAGGAAGGAAGAACCACCACTCAGCAACTATTTCGCTCTCCGCTTTCCTTCGCCGAGGCAAAAACGTGTATTCTATCCAACTCTAATTGGTAATTTTCAATATTCGTGAAACATATAAGATTATTTGAATTTTAAAAATATATTTTTGTATCTTATGTTCTTGAGATTTCTTTAATTTGGTTTTGTTTGTAGCAAAAAAGTTTGTATCTTTTGATTATTTTATCGTCCATTATGAGATTTGCTTACTCTTGAATGTATTCACTTAATGAATTTTTCATCTAACATTTTATGCATTGCCATTAAGATGTTTGTTTCCTGTTTGTTGTATCTGTTTGCTTAATCAACTTCGTGAATGTTATTTATCATCTTTTCCCTCTCTTTTTTGGCCTTTTTCCCACCTCTTTTTGCCCTTCTAAAGATTTTTGTTTTTTTACTTGCTCTCTCGCCTACCTAAAGTCTCTCACACAGTAAATGTCAAAGCTTTAAATTAAAAGAGATAACTAAGCATTTAGATTTAATAGTTGAGTTTATTGCGTGGAAATTTAGAGGAAAAATTCAAAAATATCAGGACCTCATTTTGTGCCTCTAAAGATTTTTGGTTCTTTTACTTTCCCTCTCCCCTACTTGAAGTCTTTCACACTTTTCTGTCAAAACTTTGGATTGAAAGGGATAACTAAGCATTTTGGTTATTTCCTCTGGCTTTATTTTATATTTAATGTGTTGTCTTTTTAGTTTCTGGTGTCTTCCGTCTCTTCATTTTCATTAGTGTGTTTTCTGTCCATTCTAATTCCTTTTGTTTTCTTCATTATTTTCATTTTAGTGTGCATCTTGATGGAGTTTTGACGGCGTTAGAAGGTATTGAATTTTGAGAAATAAACTTTGCATTGTATTCATATTAGGAGCATATTATTTATCAATATGAATGGCAAATTTTCTTATATGTTCTTGAATATTCATTTTGGTACGAGCGAATTTCATGTTTCAGTTGGAATTAGTATTGATAAAGTTGCATCTGGTGAATGGTACAATAACCAAAGCATCTGATGAATGGTACTCTATAATCCCTTTTCAGTAAAACATTAGTATATTGCAACTCAATCTAATTTAAAAGCTAAGGGATAAATCTTTGGCCTGTAATAACATTTATTGGGCGCCACAATGCTCGACATGAATTTATTTTTGCCAAGTTAATTTTGTGATTGGATATGAGGATACAAAACTTATGGTAGAGGCTGAGAATAGTGACGTTATATTAGCCGAAGCGAAAGAAGCGCACTAATAGCAACATAGGCACCAAAGGCTTGATATGATAATAAACAACAAATAAATCTGTTTAGTTTGGGATAGTCTTTATATGTAAAACTTTTTCTTACGACCCTCTCTCTTTTAATTCCATCATCCTATTTTGTTTTAAGAAGACAAAAACGAAATCTATTATTCTTAGTTTTAAATTATTATAAAGTATACTTTCATTTCTTAAAAAGTTCCTTAATAATATGGAGGATTCACTTCATTTAAATGGAAATTGAGGTATTATATCTAAAGTTAATTACAGCTTTCATTTTTAAGTGAGTACAAATGAAATTTTAATTTTTGTTTGTGTAAAAGACTTTTAACGTAAATGTACTTTTATCAATTTTAACAAGTCATTTATCCTTTGTAATATTCACAGTAGAATCACTAAGAAATTTTTAATTAGTAAAGATTAATTTTCTTTTAAATGCCGTTACTTATTTAGCCATATTTTAGTATTTTATTTTTATAATTGTGCGAAACGCGAATAAATTTACTAATTAAATAAATTTATGACCACCCAACATATATTTAGCAAGAACTAAATAAGTCAATACAAGCAGAAAGAAACTCATCAAAAACTTCATTTTTATTAGCTCACGAAAGTACATTCACGAACTGTCGCAAATTAGGATACATTAGACCCAATACAGATCGCATGGTCATCTTTTATTTTTGTTTATTTTCTCCTATTTTCTTTTTCCTCTGCAACTAATGCCATTGGTACCTCTAGCTCAAATCTCAGAAATACTTATCACAATTCCCTTTACCTGTCACGCAGAGAAATGGAACACGAGTAAAAAGAAGAAACACACAAAAGAATGAAACTGACATGAATAAATTCTATCTTCCGAAAAGAACAAAAACCACAACTCGAGATGAAGGGAGAATCGAAAATTTTGACTTTAACACTAAGCATCAAATTGTAATGTTTATTTATATATAGAAATAAAGAACATTATATTAGGGTTTTTTTTGGTTTTTTTTTTTGGATAGCATATTCTTGGAAACAAGTAATGCTAAACGAGCACTCCATGTAATCCTAACTCTGTCGATTTAGCGCTTTCAATAGTGAATTAGCTAGAGCTTTTGTCAGAACAGCCAAAAATATTTATGCATTTCAGATTCCTAACATACTATTCCCTCAAACTGATTAAACGACTTTTTCTATCGAGCTTTTGACATTTGATCATCTCAAATGTTAATAATGCAGTACCACACATGATATAGCAGTGTACCATAATATCCATTAAAGATGATTAACACAAATGACCAAGATATCTTTAGCAAATAAGTAAATACAGATTAAATGATAAACTATATATGTCCAAAATTGTGTTAGTCTTGTCCCGTGGAAAACATGGTAGGTTTATAATAGTTGACAGCAGCACTAAAAAAAGTCACATTTATCAATAAAGGAATAAAGAAATAAAAAAATATATTACGTAGGAGTTGACAGAATCAAATAAAAAAGTTAAATAAACTAACGATTCAAAAATATTAAGAAATATAAAAGAAGATACCAGGAGTAGAGGAAAATGTGGGAGGATCAGATCGAATCTAATCACTGTCGCTACCACTGCTGCTGCTGCTGCTATCATCGTCATGCTTCTTCTCCTTCTTGTCTTTCTTGTCCTTGTTCTTCTTTTTCTTCTCCTCCCCGTCCTTGTGATCTTCTCCATGGAGCTTCTCCTTGATCTTCTCCCTGTGTCCTTCGCCCTTCTCCTTCATCTTCTCCTTGTGCTCCTCGCCCTTCTTTTCTGAATCCTTGTGGTCTCCCATGTGGAGTTTCTCCTCTATCTTGTGCACTATTCCTGACATTTTTTCTTACACGTATATTTCACTTTAATAAGTTTGATCAAAATTGATATTGGAGTGAGGATAATGGTGAGCGAGGTATGTATTTATAGGGAAACGAAGGAAGCTCTCGATGCTTTACGTGTATGTGGTTCCTACATCTAATATAAATTTCCACACAAAAAAAGAACCAAAAGAAAATGGAAATTTAGGGAAATTAAAAAAAAACATTCAAACGTAATATTAAAGGTTTGTTGCACGCAGCTCCGCCTCCACCACTCACGTGGATGGTATATCAGTTCTCAGCTAAATGTCTTCCCTCTCCTACTTTTTATTCCTCCACTATTCACGGACATCTTGAACAATTCCTCACAAGAAAAAAAAAAGAAAAAAATTTATTTATTTTTATTTTAGGGGTATTATAAGGGCAAGACTAGGTTGTGTGGTTCAAAGGAGTTATGGGAGATAACGCACTCTGTCCAAAAACTGATTCCAATAAGGTATGCGTTGCTCTCAAATATACACCAGGCATACATACAATTAATAGAGGGATGAGAAAGAGTATCAAACCCATTTAGACTTCTCATTAACTGCTTACTAATTTCAACGAAAATCCGTTATTTAGTCAAGTAGCTAGAGTTGAGTTCTTGTTACTAATCTACTATAACGGAAATTAAATAAGCTATAAAACTATGACAGCAATGAATTGATCTTAAGAGTTTAATTCAGTAAAAATGAGTATTCCAGGGCCGTGACTGATTCACCAATCCAATTGAGTTCTAATTGTTTTCTCTTGAAATTGAATTACCCAAGGTTCCTAATTAACCATATTAGAATTACTCTCATACTATACTTCCGAATTAGTACTCGCCTACTCAGGATAAATTAACACCTATAATTCTGTGGAATTAATCTACCATGAATGCATTATGATCATGGTATATAATTAAGCGTCGTGACAAGGTAAATTCATATCATAACCACAAATCCGCACCCTGACCCTGGAATAAGATCACACTCTCTTTAACTCTTCTCTAATATAAGAACGGGTTTCTCAAGCATAACCTAGATAGTTGATAATACTTAACTGTAAGCTAAACAATCAACCAATTGTGCTCAGAGTTAAAGAAACAACTATATAATGGAAAGTTTGCATTAAAGAAAAAAATAATGGTTAAACATCAATATTCATGGCTAACCACAACCCTAAAATAATAGAACTTAGCCATGCATAATCATAACATATCACGACCAAAAATCTCACCGATGGACTTGATGGAACTTAACTTATTTTCTAGGCAAGCCAATACTCAACAACAATAATAGAACCCACTTATTAAGTCATTAACTATCTCATGATATAAATAACCATGCGGAATAAATCTCAATTCAATATCATAAGTACATAATCAAAGACAGGGTCTAAACACAACCACAACTGTCTAACAAACGCCCAAAACCCGGTGTACATTATCACGAGCATCTAATAAGAGTATCTAGTTTCGACTGAACAATAACATCTATCCAGAAAAGAAATACATAGACAGAAACGAATAAATAGAGAAAGAAGACTCTATGTACTGTGGATCTAATCAAGTAGAGCAGCTAACTACAAAGTCTCCAATAAATACTCCTACTCGGCTCAAGGGTACGTTAATACTAGTCTCAAAACCTGCATAAAAATATGCAGAATTGTAGTATGAGTACAAACCCATGGTACTCAGTGAGTATCAAGCCTAGCCTCGAAAAAGTAGTAGCGAGAGGTCGACAACGACACTTACTAACAATCCAATAACCAGATAGCAAGAATCGGATATGAGATAAGACATAGTATCATTAAATAAGATATGAAAGCTAGATACACAATTCATATAGAAATTTAGCATATTTTACAGATAAGGGAGATCAAATTATGTGTCAAATCTATATTCTCTCATATAAATACATGATGTATATCAATCAACATTTCTATCAAAGCTAATGCATGAATATAAGATATGTAAGTGCGCTTGCTAATGATTCCTTCTCAAACTTCACAACATAAATCCATGTGCTTGAAATAGGCCATATATCTAACCAAACACTATATCTGAGTGCCTATGCTAACATGACCCAAAGTAATATTGGTAATCACCTGATTCCAGGAGGACGGAACCATATCCAAACGTGGATCATTTTACAATCAACGATCATTAACCAATCATTCCAGCGTGCAACCCGATCCAGTCGTAATATCATCAATATTCAATAACGAATAATTAATATCCGCTCACATTGTCCGCAGTGTCTAATTTTTCAACTTTTCACAACATCCAACTCTCTAACTTATGCATATGTATATGAAATAATACAATTAAGAAGCACCAGATATAACAATAGCAATACAAATAAAAGCTCATAGAGTTAAAAGATAGGCATGGCTAATCATGTAATTTAATTTATCTCAACAATGCACTAAAAAAATTTAACATTCAAGAAATATTTCCATAATATTTAACATGAATAAGCTAATCCACATAACCACCAATCACGTATCAAATAAGATAAGTGCATGACTACGGCTTAATAAGAATGCTCAACATGGCAAAATAATCCTTTATGACCAACTTAACAAGTCATAACCTTAAACATACTTCTAAGTTATAATTACAAGTCATTATATAGTCATATAGAATCAATAAAACAAGGATAATAAGTTCACATAGTCAAAATAAGGCATAATTATAAACAAAACTCTACCGGGTATGGTCATGACCTAGCTACGCATATAGGCTCGTCACCTAGCATATGCGTGGCTCCTAAATCAAGCAACAAGTAAATAATAGACCGCCTACTGGGAGAATTCCCTCTTACAAGGAAAGACAAGAGACTTACATCCACTCGGCAAGCTTGAATCAACAACAATAGTGATTCCTTTCAAATCCAATACCAAACGAGTCAAATCTAGACAAATATTACTCAAATGAGTCAAAACAAGCTTTAGAAATTACTTCATAACAAAAAGATTCAATCTTTAACCCCAAATTAAAAGTCAACAAAAGTCAATCACGCGCTCAAAATTCGAAATTGATTATAGATATTGTTCATCCATAACCCCAAAATTCCAAATGTATGATTATATTCCAAATTAGTGTCCAACTTCGTAATCAGAACTCCCAAAATCACTCTCTTAAGTTCATACTAAAAGCCCCAATTTCTCCTTAAAATTCCATATTTTAGGGGTTAGAAATCTATGTAGAATCTTGAAATATAATTACATATGAGTACAAATAACATTTCCTCTTGCCTTATATGAAAATCTCCTTACAAAAATCACTCCTCTTCAAGTCTAGGGCTCAAATAAAAAATCCCAAAATGACGATTTAAATATTCTACCCAGAGGTACCCATCCCGATTGCGACCCAAAGCCACATGATTGCGAAGCACAAAAGTAAGCTACCTAAGTTCCTCCAGTTAGAATTAAGACACGTAGACATACGATATTAGGCTAATCATGATAACTACACATGCTAAGACAACTCGGTTAAGGAATTACAAGAAGACTACTCAGCAAGAACCGGATTTTTTTCAACATTTAACCTGAGTACATACTCGTCACCTCACGTACACGACCTTCACGTATTTCAAATACCATAACAGTACCAAAACCTAAGGGGATTTTTTACCCCACAAGGTTAGACAAGTCACTTACTTCAAATTAAACTCAATCAACCAATAAGAACACATTTCCCTCGACGGCCCAAATCTAGCCAAAAGCAATTAAATACTATAAATATCACTATAAAAAACTAATCTAAATAATGAAATAATGACTTTAACAAGAAATTTGGAAATCGCCCCAAAAAGTTAACTCGTGGCCACGTCTGGAATTGGGTAAAAGTCACAAAATATGAACACTCATTTGATATTGAATTCACCCATACCAAAATTACTCAAATCCGATACAAAAATCTCGATCAAAACCTCAAAATTTGGCCTAAGGATGTTTTCACCTTTTCCCCAAATTTCTGAACCCAAATCCTTAATTAAATGAATAATAAATGATATCTTAGTGAAAATTAATCAAAAACAAGTCAAGAATCCTTACCTAAATGTTTCCTCTGAAAAACCCTCAAAATTTTGCCTCAAACCGAGCTCTCTAGGTTAAAAAATGGAGAATGAAATCAAACCCTCGAACATAGCCCTTTTCTGCCCAGCGATTTCGCTTCTGCGGGCTCTCAGTCATACCGGTGACGCCGCACCTGCGGAAAATCACAGGTGCAGATTCCACTTATGGCCAGGCTTTTCGCTTCTGTGGACTAGGGCTCACACCTGCGAGCCCGCATCTGCGATGTATCTCCCGCTTCTGCGACCACATCCCAGACCAGCCCATCCGCTTCTGCGATCATACTCTTGCTTCAGTGGGACTCTGACCACATCTGCGGTCTCTACTGGGCAGTCCAAATTCTACTTTTGCGGCTCGATGGCCGCTTCTGCGGTGCCGCACCTGCGGCCCAAAATGCGCAGGTGCGATTGCACCAGACACAACAATGCTTCAGCTGTGCACCAAGTCCAATTTTATTCCGGATTCAAGTCCAAATCACACCCGGGGGCCCCGGGACCCCGTCCGAATACACAAACAAGTCCTAAAATATTATACGGACTTAGTCGAGCCTTCAAATCACATCAAACAATGCTAAAAACACGAATTGCACATTGATTCAAGCCTAATGAACTTTAAAGTCCAAACCTCTACATCCGAAGCCGAAACCTATCAAATCAAGTACGATTGACCTCAAATTTTGCACACAAGTCACATTTGACATTACAAACCTACTAAAACTTCTGGAATTGCAAATCGACCCTGATATCAGAAAGTCCACCTCCGGTCAAACTTTTCAAAAATCACCCAACTTTCCAACTTTCGTCAATTAACGCCGAAATGACCTACGGACCACCCAATCAACATCCAGACACGCTCCTAAGACTAAAGTTACCCAACGGATCTATTGGAACTGTCGAAACTCCATGCTGAAGTTGTCTCCATACTAATCAAACTACGGTCAATTCCTACGACTTAAGCTTCTATTGTTTGGACTTAGTGTCCCAATTCTCTTCGAAACCAAAAACCAAACCTC